GGGTGAGAGAGATTTTGATCGTCTTAGCGGAGAGTAAGATCATTGATTTTCAACTTTGTTAGAACATGACTCTTGGGTCAGCAATGTTTCAGCTGATTTGGTTCAGACTTGGTTGGGCGGGAGGGGGTGGGGGAGGGGCATAATTATTTGAATTATTTAGTTTTTAGGTGAAGACATAATTTATGGTCATATATCACATGTTTAAAGAACAAAGGAAGGGGTGCAGAGAGGGGCAGATGGGTTTAAACGAGGAAAAAACGGACATTAAGCAAAAAGCGGGCAGGCAGGCAAACAGACAGACAGTTTCATAATAGACTGACGAGAAGATTTATCAGCTATCTCTCAAACAAACAATACATTAACACGGTAAGAAAGAAAAGAAAAATTTGAGAAGGACGCAGGGAAAAAACATCCCTGTTGAAAACAGGATCAGTTTTAAATGCCTGGATCTTCATCTAAAATCGAGCTATTTCCCTTTGAATGACACATTTGGCAACAATTGGTCGCTTTTAAGGACAGGCAGGCTAACCCAGACTTCGGGGATTTCCAGAAATCTTGACCTAAATCAAAAGTGGGCATTGCCTTACTTATAGAAGAAATTTGATTTCATTAGTGTGTATATTTATTTGGTTATAGAGAAAACGCTCCTTGTCTTTTAAAGAAATTGAACAAGGGGCAAAAACTTTTTTTTTTTTTTTGTTTTTTTGGGGGGGGATGTCCTCAACACATGATATGTTCATTTAAAAACCCAGTTCTGTGTGGATTTTACACAAAAAAAGGTTGACGACAAGCACACAAACCCCCCACAACTACTGTTTCCAAGGACATTGAAGCTTCGTAAGTCACCAAACGTTGGAGGCCATTTTCTCGCTAATTTTACATTTGAAACCAGGCGACCCCCACCTCCTTCAATGGCATATAGATCAACTTTTAATCAAAATATGTATTTTTTTCATCAAAAGCAAGCATTAAATGAACAGACTTTAAGATTGCTCTTACAATTACATGTTCCCCAAAATTGACAAGCGCCAGATTCCATTGCATTGTGACACATATTAATTTTGGAAAGCAATAAGCTTGTGGTTTTCTATTACACCTCTGTTTTGCTTGTTTGTATGTTGCTTGTTTATTGATTGGGGTGAAACTGGTCAATTTCGAACATTCGGGGCCATATGATTAAAGCATTGTACAAATTCTGCATCTTCAAACAAATTGAGCGCCATTCTCAAGTTCTTCTATTTTCTTCTTGGTTTGTTCGCTTTGTAACGGGGAGAAGCACGGCACAGCGTTTGTAGTGCAATCGTCAGGTTCTACGCTGTTGCGTACAGAAGACGCAGATTCGATTCTCTTATGAGGAGGGCTTAAAAAATATTTTTTAAAATTTATTCTTTTTTTTCTAATCGAATATCCCAATCTCTCTGCTGGGATGTTGTATCCCTCTTAGCCCTGGTTGGCCCAGTCGGGCAGGGTCGAATTAGCCCGCCCCGTAAATGATCTATCCTGTGTCTATTACAACTACAATGAAAGCTGCCGCAGTGCTAGGTTTTTATTGTTCAGTAAAGAGTGGTTTCTCTATTACACCTCTGTTTTTGTTTTTGTTTGTTGTTTGTTGTTTTGTTTTTAAGACCAGACGCAGTGTAATTCCATTTTCTGAGATCACTTTCCAATGAACGTGTATTCCAGTATGACATTGACTTCATCTTTCAAAACATCTCTGAAAACATTCATAAAAAATGAAATCAAAATTAAAATTAAAAACACATTTGAAAAAAAAACCCGACAACAAAAGCCTTCACATCACTCTTCTATGGCAAATAAGCGTTCACTTCCATTCGACTAACTGAATCAGTCGGACTGGAAGGCAGAGTAGCCGGCGTACATTCATTAAACAGAAATTATATGCAGAACTAAATGAAGTCCACGGACCCATGCGATCCTAACAGAGTACGGCTGTCAGTATCACACTTAGAAGTTAGAACCTAGTAGTATCTGCAAAGTATTACGCTTCTGATATTAAGCATACTCATTGGTAACTAACTCACTGGCATGTAATTACTATCATAATATGCTACAACTAACGACACAACGACATAATGGTAGTCGCATGTACAATCTACAATATAGCTATAGACAAAAAGGACTCTTTTGATCATACTCGTAAACTACGACTGCCTACACACCAGAACGCCTCGCACCACCTTAGCACTACAAGCTTCTAACTCCATTTCGTTGTTGTTGCGAGAATTGAGTTACACACCACACATTACTAACACAGATACCTTGCACTCAATGACATGCACTTTTTAAAAAAAAGTTTGGGGCTTATTAACAAAGAAGCTGTAAAATATTTTATCAGTAAGAGTTTGGATCTTTGAATGCCTTTTCAAAACTATGCGTCGTGGAGTTTAAATTTAAACCCTGTCATGCAAAACAAAGGGCGCAACTCCTGTTAGATTATTCCTATAGCACAACGAGAGAACTCCAACAGTGTCCAAACATACGCCAGTCACACATCAACAGTCGCAGCGTCACGAACGTGTCCGTTTGACATCACAGGTTTCTCACAGCTTTCTTGCTTTTGTATCTCAAGCCGGTAAACACTCTACTTGGCCAAATGTAGACCATTCGAACGGCCGAGCGTTTGATCCTCCAACAGAACACCGGGCTGGGAGGAACAGACTTCCCATGGAGAAGAAGAAGAAAAAATTCGAACCATTCTTGGATTCCTGCCAAGAACTTCCATGCGTTAGCCAAGTTTGTAGTCAACTGAACCACAGCGGCCCCTTGCCTCACAGCTCTGATGAAACTTTCCGCCAAAGTGAGAAAGAGAAATCGCGTGATCATATAAAAAAATGCTGGTGGCTGATAATGACCTCTGGCTCATTTATACGTTTGTTGTAAATGTTTTTCGTCCATATCAACACAGTTTAGATCAATGAGGAGGCGGGTTGCTTTTCCCCTGACTGTCAGAACCACCATGTGAAGTGTGGGATACATCTCAGCAGAAAGAAATACTCGATAATATTTTTTCTTCACATACGGGTAGAAGAACTCAGATCTTTCGCTTTCGAGACGAAGAGTCTATTCACAACTCCACAGACTCGGCTCGAGCAAATTACCGCTACAGCAGATGTGCACGTAGCGCTCCACTGGGTCCATGTTTCAGCGGAATCTCACCTTCAGAATTTCCGAGCCAGTTCCCTTGGCGTTGGCGCAGACGAGGAAGACGTCTGATCCGTGGCGGAAGAGCTCCACGTCTGCGTTGGGCCGGGTGTGCAGGCGATGAACTGGCACGAACTTGTCCAATCCTTGCCACCGGTACACCACGCTCAGCAGACGATCGTCGTAGCCGCCATTTTGGGCGTTTGAGACCATGAGGAAGTGTTCCTCGCCCAGCCGGAAATACTCCCAGTCGATGGCACTGGCACGCCCAATGTGTGTGTGTGTGTGTGGGTTTTTTGGGGGGTGGGTGGGTGGTAGTGTGTTTGTGTGTG